GTCTATAGAGTTGTCTTGTAACAATCTCCAATAATGCGCTTTGTAATATCATTGGCAAAGTCCTTGTGACTTTGGTGCTATAACATTACAAAAGGATCATTGCATAAAATGTTAGAATCTAACATATTCTAATAGTGGCAATAATTTGGTATTCTTACGCTTATAATAAGGATTGGGAATTGTGAAACGAGCATCATTGTAAATGTGTTCAATTGATCTATTTCACAAAGTAAGGACCATAGGTAAACATAGTGTACATGCTTGGAGCATGGGATAACTATTGTTACAATTCAAGTATTAAGTTGATTAACCGAAACATTATACAATGAATAATGTGTAATCAATATGGTGACTAAATAATAAGTGTTTTATTAATACTCAAGCGTTTGAGGCCATATTGGATTCGATTATTCTTGTGTTTCACTTCGCATGTTTTGAGGCCATACTTTGGAAGTAGGTAATGAGGTAAGACTGTCATGAATCTGACTGTAGATTGCCTAAAGTGTTTAGACATAGCAAAAATCTGATGCAGTGTTCATGAGTGCTCCTGAAATAATATTTGATTATTAGATTAAACCTACGCTCACGTGAATCACTTCATGGATTTTATCACGAGTGATTGTCAGACGATAATATCTTATATTCTTGAAACGGAGAGATATGAGTTGTTGTTTGCGAGTCGGTTGCACATTGATAATGCGTAAACGCATTAGTAACTTGATGTTTTAAAATGTATTGTTGTGTGTGATTTGATGAGTAAATAGTACAAGCATATGAGTCGACGTTTATCTGTTCCTTTTACCCTAAGAGAGATAAAAGCGATATCTATGGGCCTCTCGATGATTTGGTGATGACACCCTAAAGCGCTTGGCCAAGCCTATACTGATTTGATTTTGTTAATTAGTCAGTCATCATAAATCGGAAATCGGGAAACAACACATAGACATAGATAATGATTATAATCCATATTTCATGTCTATACGATATCTTGTCAATGGAGAAATATATGATCCCTTATCTAAAGGACGCATTGTTGATAAGATCAAAGTTCAACAGCGGCTTTTGAAATCTACGATTGCTAATCAGATTCTGAAGTCGTACTTGCAATAATAGTCATTAGACTTATTCAAGTGGGAGACTGTTGGATTAGGTATCTAAGCCCATAATTATTTTTGGTATGTACTTGATTGATTATGAGCGTGGTCCTTTTGAGTTGCCTTCACTCATGCAACTTAATAGGATTACAAAAGGAGATAGAATAGAATTTATTATGTAAATAATAAATTCGTACACAAAATGGTTTTATTAATATATTACAAGATTAATATATTATATGGAAATCATATTATTTAGTTAGTATTGATCAGAAATTAATTTGGAATTAATTTAGTGGTCAAAAGAGACTGATTAAATAATTGGGGGACTGCTATGCACATCATTGATAGTTTCATAATTGGGCTAATAGACTCCATAGAGTGGAGTGGATGAAATCCTATAGGGAAGCAGTATATATTTCGTCCATGGGCTCTAAAGACTCTAAAGAAGGAGTTCATCGGCTGCTTGTTGCCTAACTTAGGTATTAGGGTTTCCACCTGAAAAGCCTAGCAGCCACAGCTATATATAGGACCCCATACAACGGGATTTTCGGCCTAAGCATTCAAGAAAGAAGCTCTAGCCGAAATACTTCTCTCCTAAGTCATTCTCCTTACGTTGGGTGTTTGTTACTCCATTAGAGGTGCAACACTTGGGGCACTAGGCTCTCAAAAGTCAAGATCAAGAAGGATTAAACTTGTTATTGCTACATAACAAGAGAGGTAAAGATTCTAACCCTAGTCATATGTGATTTGCGTTATATGTATGCTAGTCATAGGGTTATTGCTTTGGTATTCATAGTTGTATGTTCAAATTAGAAAAACCTAGATCCAAAGCAATTAAGGTTGCATGTACACCATAAGAATGATGTTATGCTCAAAACCCAACAGACTTTAGATTCAAAACTTCACTTCCCTGTCTTACCTCCACCTCTATTTGATGTTCTTCCTCTTCCTGCGATAAGTGTTTAATCTTCATCTTCAATATTTAAATTAAACATTGTAAATTCAAGATGATCCCATTGAAGTTATGCAGATGATCCTTTACTTCGGTGCTTTCCGACATCCTAAGTATACAAACGTTGCTTCTAATACAACCTATTCGTTAGAGAATTGTTTTGACACTTTTCACATAGTTTCTCCTAAATCTAGATGCATTCGTTTTATCCACGAACTCTCTTAGTACTTCGCCTGTCAAGCTCAACATAATAGCGTTATGTGCTCTTGCGAGAATATTCACCTTCCTATTAACCGCCATGTCCTTTGGTAGTTTTCCTTCTCCTTCCAGTGTCGTTGCACATCCTTGTTCAACTACAAGAGCCCTCATCTTCATCCTCCATAGAGTGAATCCATTTGAACTATTTACCTTCTCCAAATCAAACTTGTGAGTAGACATCTTCAATCATAGGAACACAAACTTCTGCTCTGATACCACTTGTTAGGAAGTAAAGCGAATAAATAGTAAAACCAAAAGCACACAAGACACGATATTAACATGGTTTGCTCAAGGTGAGCTACATCCATGGGTAGGAGGGGAGTATTCTTTATTTCTAAGTTCTCAAACGGAGGTTAAAAGTACAATTTTTATAGCGCTTCGCCTAACACTCTAAAATTCAAGATACATAAATAACTTAGCATGCATCCCAATTTATACTTGAGGGATAAGACTTATAACCGCAATGGGCCAAGCCTATTGGCCCACTGGCCCATGAGGTTACACCTTGCGTCATCCATGAAGATATTGGGCCAAGAGGAAGGAGTTACGCCAACGGAAAGCATGTTGTTATAAGGATAATGTTGCGCCATCTTGAAGATATGTTGCACCATCTAGAAAGGAAGTTGTGCCACAATGGAGAAGTTGCGCCATTTAGAGGAGATGTTACACCATAATGGGCCATCTTGGAGATGTTGAACCATCTTAGTGTTGCATGGGCCATGATGTGTCTCGTATGCCATGAAGTCCTCTATGATTCTCAAAAGCTAGTGACGCTCAAGGAATACACCATGTTGTGCCAACATAATAGATGTTGGACCATTAGTGTTGATGATGCACCACCGGTGCATCATGACGCTCCATTATGGTACAAGGTGCTCCATTATGCGACATGTGTTGTATGTTATGGAAAAATGTTCTATAATATGTTGCATGGCTAAATATGATTGGTTTCCACCTTTCATGGGCCTATAGGCAGTGGGCTTTACCCATTAGGGTTTTAGATCTAATCTGTCACACCCCCGAACAGGGACGGAGAAAACATCCGGGGGCGGATGACTTCATGTACAGTATTATAACAATTTAATATGAATGAAACATAGTAACCAAACATCATACATTGAAAATACACACTTACATAGTTTACATATTGAACTGGTTCATCAGTTACACAAAAGTAAGAAAAGTAAAATTTCTTGAAGTCGCACCACTTGATCTCATAGTCGAGCTTATTACCTGCTACTGGATCCCTGAGAATACAAGTCGTTTTGAAAAGCATCAACTAAAAAGTTGGTGATTTCATAAGCATTTTTGTATAAAATGGTTTTTGTACTTGTTTAGAGTAGTTCTCATAGCGTTTTCAGAAAATCCGATATTTCTATAAAATAATTTGTAAGTATCGTTCTAAAACGATGAATATATGCATGCTTGTCCTAGATTATCTTTTTTTTGCAAAAGTGAAGCGAGTATTCCAAGAAAATCCGATATTTTCTAAAAAGAAATGGTATGAAATATTTGTGTCCGATCTTGTATTAATGCATGTGTGTTATTGTTTATTAAAATGCAAAAAGAGAATGAAGAGAATGTAAAGAGAATGTAAAGAGAATGTAAGTAGAATGTAAGGAGAATGTAAAGAGAATGTAAAGAGAATGCCCCCTGACAACCCGATGTTGTCTGTAAAAGAGAATGCTGGTAAAGCAACCCTCGAGGTTGCATACCGGCGCGAGTAAGTTACCGAGTAATCCAAAGAGAAATGAGAATGGTTTTCCCTTAAATTTTATAATGTTAATTCCTCTAAGTGAGTCGTTATAACTATACTAGATAATGACAATTTCGCCTGTCTTGGCATTTATGGATGTCGACGGAAATAAAATAAGGTTTTTGTCACCCTAGACTGGCCTAGTCTAACTGTAGCGAACAGCTCAGGTTTGGGGTGTCATCCCCGTATAGATCTATACACACACCCCCGCTCTCCCTCCAAGAGACTCTGGTTATAACTACAGACTACGATTGTACACTCAATAGGTGTCAACTGACACGTCTCACTAGATCCTTAGTCGAATTTACGCGTAAAGAAACATGTAAAGTACATTCTAGGCCCACTAAACATGTAAGTGGACAACTAAGGCCCACTAAGCATGTAAAGTATTTCTAGGCTCAAAAGGAATGAGATTATATATATTCCGGGCCCAATATACATGTAAAAGGACAACTAAGATCCACTAAACACTTAAAAGGACGCTAAGGCCCGCTAAACATGCAAAAGGACACCTAGGCCCACTAAGCATGTAATAGGATACTAAGGCCCACTAAACGTGTAAAAGTACACTAAGGCCCACTAAACATGCAAAAGGACACTAAGGCCCACTAAGCATGTAAAAGGACACTAAAGCCCACTAAACATCTATATTATTTCCAATAAGTACGTAAATATATATATATATATATATATATATATATATATATATATATATATATATATATATATATATATATATATATATATATTAAAGTACATATAAGTTAACATGTCTAGATGTTTTAAAAGTATATATAAGGGGCTGTTTGATTTGACCTTACTGGGTCCGGTCAGAGCTGACTGCTGACTCGGTCAGCAGTCAGGCTGTTTGGTAAATCCAAAATTGTGCTGAGTCGGTAAGCATTGCTTACCCACAGAAAAATATGTGGCTGACTGGAAAAAAAAAGCCCGCTGCCCTCTTCATCCCTTATCTGCCCTCGTGACCTAATAGAAAAATATGCAGCAACAAAACACGATTCTTTCACTCCAGCTTCCCTTTTCAGATAGAGAACAAAACACAAATCGACGCATTAGTCTGACCTCCTCCTTCTCCAGCCAGAGTTGCGTCAACAGTAAGCATCTGTTTCGTCTTTTTTTTTTAAACAACTTGATCGATTGATTGTTCATCTCTATATGAAGTATGTGACTTGCAATTGATTTTTGTTCCTAGATATGCAAAATCTGAGAAAAAAACCATGGTTCGTTTTTCTGATTTTGCTTCTCTATCTTAAATTGTGTTTATATCAATTTTTTTTGTTCTTCCCTCTTTTTTCTGTTGTGAAATCTATCTGAAATATGTGACTTTTATTTGATTTTGGTTCCTATTATGCCAAATCTGTGGGGAAAAAAATCCTTACTTCATCTTTCTGATTTTGATTCTCTGTCTGAAATTATGTTTGTATCAGATTTTGATGTTTTTTATTTTTTTTTCCTGCTGTGCAGTCTTATGCTTTCAGTTCAAGCTTGTTAGTTTCTGTTTGCTGTTCTTCCTTTTTTTTACACTGATTATTAGGTAGCCATGAAACTGATGCTATTAACAAAATTGTCCTTCTAGGTGTTCTAGACAATGGGAATGATGCAGAGTGGTTTGAGGCGTTAGCTGGTGATTGGTACTTCATAGAAGAGATCATCACCCTCTTTGAATCTTGAAGAATGCAATGTATAAAGTTGTCAATTGGGTTGTTACTCATGTTTTTGGAATAAAGAAAAACACTCAAATTAGTTTGTGTATATGTAGAAATTCAATCATTTTGTAAATCAATATAATTGTGATAATGATTTTATATGATTTGATGAATATTTGTAATTAAGAGAATTGTTTTGACAAAAGTTTACACGAGCGTAATTGTGAGAATTGCTTTTGTATTAAATGATATTGCTATAACTAAATAGATTCATGTTGTGTTGCAAACATAACATAAGGGTAAAATGGTCAATTTGATTATTCAGCTGTTGGGTTAAATAGTGTTGCGTCATGGGCTTGGTCCTTAGCCCAGTTTTGCTATCCAGTTTAGGCCTGTCTAACTGTGATCGTTTTATTTAGGGTTTAGTATATAAGGTGCATGCATGCAGCCTTTGTAAGGTGCGCTTTTGATAATTATTGTTTTGGGTTGTACTACGAAACCCTAGCTCGCCTCTACAGTGGAAGTTCTTTGTCGAGCTCTGTTGTGGCGTGACTACGTTTGAATCATTGAGCATTATTTAATTCCATGTTGTGTTCTCTGTGTTGATTTGATTTTATTGTTTAATCTGTTGAAGATCTAATCGATCTAAGAGTTTTTCATCTCAACAATTGGTATCAGAGCAGGAGACTGTGTAATTCATACACATCTCTTCTATTGAAGAAGATCTTAGGGTTTTCCGCTTAGATTAATATTTATAGAGCCGTCATCTGCTATTGACGTGGTTCCTTGAATACTTGATCTTACGGCTAACGTTATTTACAAGTCTGATCTTAAGCAGGTTTAAACAAGCTTCAACACATCCATGGACGATTCTCAGTCAAACCCAATCAACATCTCAAACAGCATAGGATCGACAACAAGGATTCCTATCTTATACACTAAAGATTATGAAGTCTGGGCAAATCACTTTGAAGACTACGTGATTGGCTCAGAAGATAATGGATACATAATCCGGGAGGCGATTACTGTTGGTCCTTTCGTACATGCAAGCACCTCAAGAGTTGTTAAAACTCAAAAGGAATATAATCAACTCATCAGTGACGTGAAAGATATACCTCAGGACGAGAAAGAAAAGTTTCAGTGCAACATCAAAGCTTTAAGGATGATAAGGTTTGCATTACAGTCAGACACATTTCGGCTGGTGAGCTCATGTACGACAGCAAAGGAAATATGGGTCAGGTTGAAGGAACTGTACTCTACGGATGAAGATCTTGAGCACTCTATCCAGACCCTACTACTCTCAGAATTTGGTGACTTTAAGCAGAAGCCTGAAGAGAAGCTAGTTCAATCCTTCGATCGCTTCAATCATCTCTTAAGCAAGATGATTAAACATGGAATCGAGAGGAAGGTCATTGAACAAAAGGTAACATTCATGAATGGGCTTAGATCGGAATGGATGGCTGTAGTGTCAACAGTGAAGGCTCATGAACATTTTTCAAAAGTTATTATCTTGCCAAATTGGTGGGAATACTTAAGTCACACGAGAGTGCCTTGACTAAAGAAGCTATTGTGGTTTCTGGCATGGGATCATTGGCTCTAATATCCAAAGGTAAGAATGCTGCTGAGGAAGAGGAAGATTTAGATCTCTCTGAATATGATCTAACAAGCGAATAGTACTCTCTGATGGTGTCAAATCCCAAGAAATTCATCAAGAGAAGATTTCCAACAAACAAAAACCGAAACTGGCAAGGCAGTTACAGTGCAGAGAAAGCAAAGGAGGAACCGAAAAGTGTTTCTCAGACGGAAGAACCAAAGAAGGAAACGAAACTTGGAGGTGACTCGGGCTTTACCTGTCACTACTGTGGAGGCAAAAATCACTTCGCAAAAGACTGCATGCTCAGAAAGATGTCTGAGAAGAACGAAGATGAGGACGAGGAAGCGAACCTCACAAGGCGTTTGGAGGAAATCAGGAAGAAGAAAGCAGGATCTAACAACACCATGAATGCTCTTATTGTGTAGGGAAATACGATCGATGATGAATTTGGAGGCGTTGAAATTTGGTCGACTGATTCAGAGGACGAAGAAGTGAGGAAACCGACTCATGGCAAGGCTCTGTTGGTGAAGGAAGAGAACAACACAGGAAGATGTTTGATGGTGACGTCTGGAGTGTCACACATGCGAGGCTATACCACTGATGGAGGAAATGATGGAGAGAAGGAAAGAGAAGACCGTTGTTTTGCTGCAAAGCCTGTCAGTCAGCAGATTAACGATTGTGACGAGTTGATCCAGAAGGTACAATCTATTCTTATCTCTCTGAAAATTCCAATAACTGACTACGAAAATGAACTCAATAGTTTAAAATCTAAATTTTCTAGTTTAAGTGGAAGTTTAACTCAAACTCGCGTCACAAACTCTAACCTAACTGATCAAATCAGCAGGGTGTCATCAAAGAGTGGGGAGAGGCGAATGTGGATTGAGCAGAAGGAGAAGGAGTTGATTAGGTCTAGGGATGAAACAATTTATTTGAAAAGAGATCATTTGAAGCTTTTAAAACAACAAAATGTGTTTTGTTTAATTGCTAAGCGTTTATACACCAATATTACTCAATTGCATCTTGATTGTGAGATAGGGAAGAAGATACATCATATGATTTTACCCTTCCTTGAGTTAAAGGAGGATGAAATCGATGCTGACGCATACCACTGTGAAAATGTTGTTTCATCTGAGGATATTTCTCCTGCCTACAGAATCGGTCTTGACAAAATAGAGTCCTTTATAAAGTCCAAAGACCATAAGGACATGCTCAAAGTTTTGTTGGATGAAAATGACAAATTGAAAATCCAAACTGAAACTGTACAGAAATTTGACTTGTTGAATGCTAAGTTGAGTTCAAAAAATAAAATTGTTGTTGAAAATACTTCTGAATTCGATGAGGATGATGATATGAGTGACATTTCTGTAGATGATGTGGTTGATTGTTCAGAATTTGTCAAGAGCGAACCCGAAACTAACAAAAATCTTATTTCTGAAAATTCGGTTGAGTTTGCTCGTTTATCCAAAGACAAGACCAAAGTCCATAAAGAAAAGGCCATTGTGTATCAAAAGGTCCAAACCACTCCAAATCAGGTATACAAAGTCAATGGAGTTTCTTTGCAACAAACAGCCGAACTGACAGCAATTGTTGCAGAAGATAATGTTGAGGGCTGTGATGAACATTTCTGGTCAGCACTCATTGACAATGCAGATGAAACTGTGGGTTTGTCTCAGAAAACTTCATGGAGAGTGAAAGGAAGATATGTAGCCGAACCTCTTAATGATCCTACTCGTTTTGATGAGCCTAGTACAAGTGGTACCAAAAAGCCTTCAGCCGAACAAGTCGCAGTCTCAAGCGAAACCTCTTCACTTAAAAGTGAAGCTTGTGCTCAAAAATCTGAGAAAAAGGCTAACATTCACAGAAATCCAAAACAGGTGAAAGATCGAAAGCATCAAAGGAATGTGAGGTACAAGAAAAACCTTACTGAAAGGAAGCAGTTCTGGCGTTCTCAAAATCCCAACTATGTTCGCTATGAAAAATCTTCTAAGCAAAAGGAGGTAGGAAAAGAAAAATCCAGCACTCACACTCAGGGCGAAAACAACCGAAAACAGAGTTTCGGTCCTCAACATCAAACCAACCGAAAGCAGAGTTTCGGTCCTCAACATCAGACAAACCGAAAGCAGAGTTTCGGTCCTCAAAATCAAACCAACCAAAAGCAGAGTTTCGGTCCTCAACATCAGACAAACCGAAAACAGAGATTCGGTCTGCCAAAGGATGTCAACCAAACACAAGGCTTCGGTTCTCGAAATGAGAAAAACCGAAAGGGTGGTTTCGGTTCCAGTCTAAGCAGTGAGCAGAAACGAAAGGAAAGCAATCTTCACTCTCAATCACAAACGAGCCATATCGAAAAGGCTAACTTAGTTTCCAAATCTCATTTTCCTAGCTCTAACCTCCTCTCACAGAATAATCAAAAAGGAAAAGAAAAGCTTTGTCCAGCAAATTCAAAGGATTCGTCAACTAAGCCTAATGTTGATCGAAAGTATGCTAACGTAGATTACACATATTCGACAACTCCACCCAAAAATAAAATTAAGGTTTTCACATTAACAAGAAAAGATGAAACGACGTTAATAAAAAGAACCTTTTTAGTTGATGTTTCACTAACAAATCCCTGTTCTGTAAAAAGCTCACGAGGGCCCAAGACACTTTGGGTTCCTAAATCTGCTTAACTTTTGCAGGTTATACGTGACGAGCAGTTTGATGATGAATGGTACATAGACAGTGGTTGCTCACGTCACATGACAGGTAGAAGGGAAGAACTGAGGGAATTTTGGTCTCTTACGAATGGTGGAAGTGTCAAGTATGGTAACAACTCCTATGGCACGATCAAAGGTTATGGTATGATTACCAATGGCGAGTTCTCGATAAGAAAAGTGGCATATGTTGAGGGTTTGCAACACAACCTTATCAGTGTTTCTCAACTGGTGGTTGGAACGGGACTAAAGGTGTCTTTTGATGACGAGGGATCAGAGATTACTGAAAAGAAGTCAAACATTGTTCTGCTGAAATCAAAGCGAAAAGGAGAGATGTACCCTTTGAATCTCAATCCCATACGGGGAAAACCAGCTATCTGCCTGTTGTCAAAGGCTCAATCAAACGAAAGCTGGCTTTGGCACCGAAGACTCTCCCATCTGAATTTTAAAGACATCAACAAATTGGTGCTTGGAGATCATGTTCGGGGTCTTCCTGTTCTGAAATTCGATAAAGAACACCTCTGTGCTGCATGTGAAATGGGGAAGCAAAGTTGACAGAGTCATCCTTCTCGCGTCAACACAAAAATAATTGAACCACTTGAATTACTTCATATTGATTTGTGTGGTCCATCTTCAATCGAAAGTGTTGGGGGCAACAAGTATATACTTGTCATTGTAGATGACTTCTCCCGATTCACCTGGGTATTCTTTTTAAAACAGAAATCAGAGGCCACTCCTAAACTATAGCTCTTCATCAAGCAGGTCGAAGTCCACTTGAGAAAGGTTGTTCGTAACATAAGAAGTGACAATGGGTTGGAGTTTAAGAACAAAGAATTCGAAGAGTTTCTTGCAGAAAAAGGGACAACTCACAACTTCTCGGCCCCATACAC